TCTGTTTGGTGAATTCAGCACCAGATGCACATGCCTGTAGCATTCTTTTCTTATTTTCTCCTTCATTTGGGTATATGGTTTTTCATCTCCTTCACTGTGTCCTAGGTACCTATAGGCTTTTTCTTGTTCAATTTCCCTAATTTTTGTGAAAAAATTGAGATCTATTGATTGTGTTTCTGCAATTCTTCCTTTCTTGAATGTTAGTTTTACATTTTTATCTCATCCAAAATCTATACTGATGTCATCACTGAAACATTTAACAGTATTGAGGAGACCTTTCAACTCATTGTCATTTCTGGCAAAAAGTTTGAGATCATCTATGTAGAATAAGTGATTAAATACTTTCTTTTTTATTGTGTATCCATTGTTATTATTATTTAGTTCATGTAAAAGAGGGATTTTGGCAGACTGGATTTTAAAAGTCAGTGGGTGGAATGACATCATAGGAACACACGTCACATGTTGGTTCAGTGTCCCTCTGCGGGTGGTCTTCTATAACTTCTTTTCCAATTTCCCTGAAAAACATCTTCAGGTCTGTTTGAAATATCTTATTTTGTCTCTGCAGACAACACCACAGAAGGGGCAATTACTGATCAGATATTCAAACAATTGAAAGTAGCAGTGCCTTTGTTAAAATTCAGTCAAAAATTTTCCTTTATATGATCTGTACAACCTGTGTATTGTAAACATCTTATTGGAGTAATTAGGATATAAAAATTCTGATTGTATTTATACCAATGCAACCGGAAGTTACAGCAAAAAAATATTTATGAAACAAATATATTTTACAAATATATAATTTGAATTTATTGCATATAATTTTAGTGAAACAAAGTACTAATATTAAACGTGATGAAATTAATATAATGAATATTATCAATGATAATAGTTTTAATCTGCATAATAGCCTTTTAAATAATGACAATAAGTATATGAAAGTTACTCTAAAGTCTAAGCTAATAGGAGTTGCCAAGTAGCTAATTTCAGATGGCTATCATGAATTTTGAACCTACATATAGCATATAAAACACAAGGGAATTTTAGGTAGAATATGTTTTTTCCACAGTCCATTGCTATATTTAAGGAAATTTACTATCACCAAGGTGACTTTGTACATTTCCAAAGCCTTAAGGACTTAAAAGTGTGATGCACAATCTAAGGCTTTATGATAATCTATGTATAATCTGTGCTAAGATTCCTACCTTTTTTTCCTGCAATTTTCCAGGATATTTATCAAGGGTTGATATTTGCAACCATTGAGCCTGTTTGTCATCCTTTCTGTTCCAGGGGAAGAAAGTTGTTTTCATTGAGAAAACAGTAAGCACTGTCATTCAGCATAAATGTGATTAATTTATATATCATGGACACACATGTTTCACCCTTTTTTTGGGAGGAGATAAGTAATACCTAGTAATATTATGATTATTAATTAACATTGATAATGTTTGTGCAAAGGGTTTATGGATTGATAACAGATGATAAATTCAAAAGTTAGGTACCTTGTCATTTCCTGGAGATTTCCATTTTTGGTATTTTGTTAGAACTTGCCTTATATTATTCTTGGTTATATTTTCCATTCTTGCACGGGTTTATCCTTCATTCTTTCTTGTTCTTGTTTGATCCACTCTGTACTGGAATTATATTTTTTGGGGTTGCTCCAAATATTCTCCCAAATTTTTTGCACTTCTTCAATAGATGGCGGCTTTTTGACTTCTATAACTTCTTTTCAAATTTCCCTGAAAATTTTCTTCAGGTTTGTTTGAAATATCTTATTTTGCCTATGCAGACAACACCACTATTTACTTCTGCCTCAATAGCAAATCAGGTAATGCTGAGAAAACTAACCTGGTCATTGGTCTTGAAAAAGACCTTCAATCTGTGGTTGACTGGGGCAAGAAATGACTGGTAAACTTTAATGCCTCAAAAACAAACCTGCTCTCTTTTACCCACCACAAGGAAACCCTCCTGCCTCTCATTAGGATGTCTGATGCTCAACTCCATGAGAGCACCTCTCTGTGCCTGCTTGGTCTCACAATGTCCACTGCCCTGAGATGGAACAAACACATTGAATCAATAACTTCATCTATCACAAGGAAAGTTGGTTCTATGTGTTGTGCCAGAAAGATTTTCTCGCCTGAGTCCATCCTTCAAATCTATAAAACAAGCATTCACCCTTGCATGGAATACTGCTGCCATATATGGTCTGGACCCCACGCTGTTCATCTCAAGGTCCTTGACAATATCCAGAGACAGATATGCAATGTGATTGGTCCTGATCTGGCATCTCATCTCACAGATGTGCCATCACTTCCCTCTGTCTTTTCTACAAATACTTTCATGGTAACTGCTCTGATGAGCTACTTTTGCTGGTTCCCAAACTGCATGAATTTAAGCATGCTACTAAGTTGGCATCTCAGTCCCACCCTTTCACTGTCGAAACTGTTAAATGTAGCCCTCTCTTCTACTCCAATAGCTTCATGTTTCACACTTCCCATGTATGGAACACCATTCCTTTTACTTGCTTCCCTAATAGCTATAATCTCCAATTATTCAAATGCAATGTCAATTAACATCTTCAGATGCCTTGATCTAATTCCCCATCCTTCTCGTCATCCTTTCCTCTATCATGCCTCTTTACTCTTGCTCCCACTCTCTGTAACCCCTTGCTTGCTAGTGGCACTCCTGCCTTGCTTGAGGTGAAATGCTGAAAAAAAAAAAAAACTACAATACTTTTCATCTCATCTTGTTCTGTGTGCCTTTAATTGAAGGTTCTGTTTAAGTATTTCCTTGCTTAGTGGTATTTTATTTACTACTTTAATTCTATATATCTGTTTGAACTTCCTGCTTTTTTGTGTAGAAACATTTGAATTTCTTGAAATCTCATCTAGTATCAATAATTCACACCTGATTTCCTCAATTTCTCGCTTTCATTTTGATTTCGAAGAAGGTTCTTTTTGTCTGTTCGATCTTTTCTTTGTCTTGACATTTAATTCTCCATTAGCTGCTAATGCCGTTGCATTTATGACATTTAATTCTGTGATGTCTTCCAATGGCCTGTCCATTAACAATGCTTGCAATGCAGCATTATATATTTTCACAGTATGTTTATTGGATTTAGTCATGTGGATTTTTGGAAGCTGATCTGTTTCTGACATTTTTGTGTGAGTTACTTTGCTGGTTATTTGAATGACATTGTTTTTCACATTAGTGATTTCAATATTGTTGTTTGCAAGGAATTCTGCTCTAATTTTGTTTGATTCAACTTCATCAGTGACAGAACCTCAATCAGTGAAATTGTTTATGTCGTAGCTAGATACTTCCATTTTATTTTCTGATAGATCACTATTTTGTATCTCATTTTAATTTGTTCCTCATCCTCTGTCATATTACATATTTCAACTCCTGCCTCATTTTTGTTTGAGTCATGGCCTTTTGTACTTTGTCTAATATTTAGTTTTGCTTGATCTATTTACTGCATTTGAGAGTTTTTTTATTTTTTATTTCACATGATGTCCCTGTGAACATCAAGCTTATTTGGGTCAAGATACAGTTTTATTTAAGTTGCTATCATATTTCTCCATATTTGGAATGTCTAATCCATTATGGTCTTTTGCGGATTTTTCAGTGCAGTATAAAAAGATGTTATAACTTGTTTATGCTCTTCATGATTCCATTTCATCTGCTTTCTTTTGATTACCATATTTGATGGCATATAAGACACATAGGTGTATAAGATGCACCCCAATTTCAGCAGGCCAAATCAAGAAAAAATTAGTAATTAGTAAAATTAGTAAAATTATTAGTAAATGCTAAAGCCTAGGCTATATTTATGGGGTATTATTTTGGTTAAACAAGCCATGATTACAATTAAACGAAAAATATTAGGAAAAAAAGAATACAAGCCTATAAGAACTTTATTATACAAAGGTAAGAAAAAAAATCAATCAATTATTACAATTGAGCAAAATAATACAGTTACCATTAAAATTCAGTCAAAAATTTTCCTTTATATGATCTGTACAACCTGTGTATTGTAAACATCTTATTGGAGTAATTAGGATATAAAAATTCTGATTGTATTTATACCAATGCAACCGGAAGTTACAGCAAAAAATATTTATGAAACAAATATATTTTACAAATATATAATTTGAATTTATTGCATATAATTTTAGTGAAACAAAGTACTAATATTAAACGTGATGAAATTAATATAATGAATATTATCAATGATAATAGTTTTAATCTGCATAATAGCCTTTTAAATAATGACAATAAGTATATGAAAGTTACTCTAAAGTCTAAGCTAATAGGAGTTGCCAAGTAGCTAATTTCAGATGGCTATCATGATTTTAAACCTACATATAGCATATAAAACACAAGGGAATTTTAAAAGATATTTTTAGTAAAAAAAAGTGTGCCGTATATGCTGTCAAATACGGTAATTGATTGGTAGAAGAGTTTGTTTCAGAGACAATTTTTTCCAACCCAAGACTGTTTCATCTCTGAGGGATGTGGTCCTTGTTGACTCAGGCAATGATTGATCTGGTAAGAAGAGTTTTTGTTTTTAAACAATGAGATATTTTTTTGCGTTTTATCTTTAACCACCAAGGAGAAATTTTGTTCAAGATACCACCTCTAGGACAACTGTCAACCACTAAAAACTAAAGAGAATGTTCTGCCCACAAGATGCATCTATTCCCTATAGGACATGGGGAGTATGCATTTATTATTATTATTATTTCTATTATTGTTATCATTATTGTTATATAATTAATTTTTCATTTTTATATAAATTTGAAATAATAAAATAAATAAATTATTATTATTATTATTATTATTATTATTATTATTATTATTATTCAGAACAAGGATGAGGAGAGATAGTAAAAAAACATCATTTTTTTCAAAAGGATAGGGAAATGTTTTTTTTTTTGAAGTGATTCTTTTTATTATTAATATCTACAACAACAATAGATAAACATGATAAACATTATAAAATGAAGAATTTATCTGTCTTGGGAAAATATTCGGTAAGTTATTTTCAAAATTGGCATTCAGATAGTCTGACAATTTTTTTCCATCATTTTCCTCGTTCATGTTTTTGTTTTAATTTATTTATCTCTTTTAAAATATTTCATTTTTCTTTCTTATTGCAATATTTTTCTTTTTTAGGATCTATTGTTTTTCTGCTCTTTGCTGTTTCTCACTTTTCTTTTTTTTTTCATCTTTTTTGTCATTGTTTAGAAACTTTTTCATCTTTCTTTTTTTATAAAAATCTTTTCTTTCTTGTTTCTTTCTAATTTTTGTTTTACTCTCTGATTCTTTTTTACCATTCACTTTGCCAATAAAATTCTTTTCTTCATTTTATTCATCCATTCACACATTTTTTTTCTTCTGTTTAACTTTCTATTTTCTTCATTACACTTTTTTCAACATTTAATTTTTTCCAGTCATTTTTAAATCTTTATCATACATTATTTTCTGTTTATCTCATCTTTTTTCATTTCCATATTGTTCATATTGTCCATATTGTTTCTTCTTTTTTGTTTTCTTCTTTTATTTCTGATTCTTGGATTCTTTTTTTAACCTTTTTTCTTTCTTTCATTTCTCTGTTTCTAATTTATTCATTTTAATTTATTCATTTCTTTCATCACTCTAATAATCTTTTTTTATTTTCACTTCTCTTTCCTCTAATCTAGCATACATTTTTAGTTCACTGTGTATTTATTTCAATGCTTTCTTTCTTTTAGGCACACTTTTCTCTTTCTCTATTTTCTTATTTTTTTCTCTCTTCTTTTTCACTTTTTCTACCTCTTTTTTATTTCTGTTCTTTTCCATCTTTTCTCTCTCATTACCTATTATTTTCTTAATTTTTTCCTTTTATCGCTTTTCTCCTTCATTTCTTTCATTTGGCCCAAACTCTATTTTTTAGTTCATTTGGTCCTTTTCTTTCTTTCTCCCAACTTTTTTCCCATCTCTTCAAGTTTCTTAATCTTTTTTTCCTGGCCTCAAAACTCTCTATTATATATCTTTTATCTCTCTTTTCTTCCTGGCCTCAAACTCTCTATTATATATCTTTATCTCTCTTTTTCCTGGCCTCAAACTCTATTATATCTTTATCTTTTCTTCCTGGCCTCAAATATATATCTTTCATTCTTTTCTCTGGCCTTCTCTCTTTTCTCTCTTTTCTCCCTGGCCTCAAACTCTCTATTATATATCTTTTATCTCTTTTTCTCCCTGGCCTCAAACTCTCTATTATATATCTTTTATCTCTTTTCTCCCCTCCTCCAAACTCTCTATTATATATCTTTTATCTCTTTCTATTATATATCTTTTATCTCTTTTTCCCTCCTCAAAACTCTCATTATAAATCTCTCTTTTTCTCAGCCTCAAATTATTTTCTTTTTTCTCCTTTTCCTCAAAGTTTATTATATAGTGTTCTCTCCTATCTCTCTTTTCCCCTCCTCAAACTCTCTATTATATATCTTTTATCTCTCTTTTCTTGGCCTCAAACTCTCTATTATATATCTTTTATCTCTCCCTGGCCTCAAACTCTCTATTATATATCTTTTTCTCTTTTCTTTCTCCCTGGCCTCAAACTCTCTATTATATATCTTTTATCTCTCTTTTCTCCCTCTCCTCAAACTCTCTATTATATATCTTTTATCTCTCTTTTCTCCCTGGCCTCAAACTCTCTATTATATATCTTTTATCTCTCTTTTTTCTCAAACTCTCTATTATATATCTTTTATCTCTCTTTTCTCCCTGGCCTCAAACTCTCTATTATATATCTTTTATCTCTTTTCTTCCTGGCCTCAAACTCTCTATTATATATCTTTTATCTCTCTTTTCTCCCTGGCCTCAAACTCTCTATTATATATCTTTTATCTCTCTTTTCTTTACTCTCTTTTTCTTTTCCCTGGCTCCTCAAACTCTCTATTATATATCTCTCTTTTCTTTGGCCTCAAACTCTCTATTTTCTCCCAAACTCTCAATCTTTTATCTCTCTTTTCTCCCTCTCCTCAAACTCTCTATTATATATCTTTTATCTCTCTTTTCTCCCTGGCCTCAAACTCTCTATTATATATCTTTTATCTCTCTTTTCTCCCTGGCCTCAAACTCTCTATTATATATCTTTTATCTCTCTTTTCTTCCTGGCCTCAAACTCTCTATTATATATCTTTTATCTCTCTTTTCTCCTCCTCAAACTCTTATATATCTTTTATCTCTCTATTTTATCTTTTTTCTTTTCCTCTCCCTCAAACTCTCTATTATATCTTTTATCTCTTTTTTCTTTCCTGGCCTATATTATATATCTTTTTCTCTCTTTTCTCCCTGGCCTCAAACTCTCTATTATATATTTTATCTCTCTTTTCTCCAAACTCTCTATTATATATCTTTTATCTCTCTTTTCTCCCTGTCCTCCAAACTCTCTATTATATCTTTTTTATCTCTCTTTCCCTCCTCAAACTCTCTATTATATATCTTTTATCTCTCTTTTCTTCCTGGCCTCCAAACTCCTATTATATATCTTTTTCTCTGGCCTCAAACTCCTCTATATATTTATCTCTCTTTTTTTTATATTTTTTCTCTTTTCTCCCTCTCCTCAAACTCTAATACTGGCCTCAAACTCTCTATTATATATCTTTTATCTCTCTTTTCTCCCTCTCCTCAAACTCTCTATTATATATCTTTTTTCTCTCTTTTTCTCCCTGGCCTCAAACTCTCTATATATATATCTTTATACTCTCTCTTTTCTATCAAACTCTATTTATATCTTTTATCTCTTTTCTCCCTGGCCTCAAACTCTCTATTATATATCTTTTATCTCTTTTTTTTTCAAACTCTCTATTATATATCTTTTATCTCTCTTTTCTTTTTCTATTATATATTCCTGGCCTCAAACTCTCTATTATATATCTTTTATCTCTTTTTCTCCCCTGGCCTCAACTCTCTATTTATCTCTCTTTTCTCCCCTGGCCTCAAACTCTCTATTATATATCTTTTATCTCTCTTTTCTCCCTGGCCTCAAACTCTCTATATATCTTTTATCTCTTTTTTCTCCCCTTCCTCAAACTCTCTATATATCTTTAACTCTCTCCTATTATATATCTTTTATCTCTCTTTTCCCTGGCCTCAAACTCTATTATATATCTTTTATCTCTTTTTCTCCTCTCCTCAAACTCTCTATTATATATCTTTTATCTCTTTTTCTCCCTCTCCTCAAACTCTTTATATCTTTTTCTCTCTTTTTCCCTGGCCTCAAACTCTCTATTATCTTTTATCTCTCTTTTCTTGGCTTCAAACTCTCTAATATATATCTTTTATCTCTCTTTCTCCTGCCCAAACTATCTTTATATCTTCTCTCTTTTCTCCCTCTCCTCAAACTCTCTATTATATATCTTTTATCTCTCTTTTCTCCCTGGCCTCAAACTCTCTATTATATATCTTTTATCTCTCTTTTCTCCCTGGCCTCAAACTCTCTATTATATATCTTTTATCTCTCTTTTCTCCCTGGCCTCAAACTCTCTATTATATATCTTTTATCTCTCTTTTCTCCCTCTCCTCAAACTCTCTATTATATAATTTTTCCTCCTCTCTTTTTTCTTTTTCCTCATATTTTTATGGCCTCTTTTCTTCCTGGCCTCAAACTCTCTATTATATATCTTTTATCTCTTTTCCTGGCCTCAAACTCTCTATTATATATCTTTTATCTCTTTTTTCTCCCTCCTCAAACTCTCTATTATATATCTTTTTATCTCTCTTTTTTCTCCCTGTCCTCAAACTCTTTATATATCTTTTATCTCTTTTTCCCTCTCCTCAAACTCTCTATTATATATCTTTTATCTCTTTTCTCCCTGGCCTCAAACTCTCTTTATATCTTTTATCTCTTTTCTTTTTTCTTTTATCTCTCTTTTTCCCCTGGCCTCAAACTCTCTATTATATATCTTTTATCTCTTTTCTCCCTCCAAACTCTTTATCTTTTATCTCTCTTTTCTCCCACTCCTCAAACACTTTTTATCTCTCTTTTCTCCTTCTCAAACTCTATATAACACTGGCCTCCAACTCTATTATATTTTGCCTCTCTCTTTTCTTGGCCTTTTTAGTTTTTTAACCCCTTCTTTTTCTCCTTGTTCCCAATTAAATTTTTTATATTTCTTTCTTCCTTTCTCCCTCTTTCCTCTTATCTTTATCTTTTTCTCTTCTAATTTTTTTCTCCCTCTCATTTTATTCTTCTAAACCTTTTACCCTTTCTTCTTCTTCTTTCATCCGCCAAACTCCTCCTTATTCAACTAACACTTCAGATTAAATATAATAACAATAAATTATTGGAAATCATTTTTAATGTATTTTGCATTGTTCTAATTCTGTCAGTTTTCCTGTTCTTATTTTTTATTTTTTACAGTCATTTTAATTTTTTTTTTTCTTCTCTTCACCAAATTTTGGTTAGAACTTTTGTCTGATGCTTTTCTAAGTATAGACTGAAACCTTTTTTCTGCAATTTTCTTCTTTTATTCTTCTTTGCATTTTCTTTTTATGATTTTTCCCCAACTTCTCTTTCCACTGACAGATTGTGTATACCAGTTTGCATAGCATATACAATGCAAAACACTATCAGTGCAATCTTTCTGACTTCTGCCCATCCATAGCCATATTGCTTTTCCTGTGCTATTTTATTGCATTTGACATCCTGTTGCCTTCTTGCTGGTTTTGGTTCTAATACTGTCAACCGGATGCCCTATACAGCAGCTGGTTTTATTCTTGATGCCAAGGATTCAGAGGGAGGAGAGGAACAGTGGTGGCGATACCATTGCAATGATATTAGCAAAAATGTTATCGGTGATGATGATGTGTTGTTGATACCAGTAAAGGTAGAGATGATGGTTTTGATGGTAATCAACGCTACTGACTATTTTTTATTTCTTCCGGTATGAGGAGATTTTATTGTTTTGCTTTTTAAATCATTTCACCCCAAGCATGGCAATAATGCCACTAAGATGCAAGCGGATACTGAGAGTAAAAGAGAATGAGAAATTTTTTGTGAGAACAAAAGACAATAAAATAATAACATTCAAGAAGACAGAAAATAGTGATTGACGTTGCGTTTAAAGTTTTGAAGATTGTGTTGAAGCAAAAAATTGGAGGAGAATTGCAGAGGTAATAAATGCGAGAAAAGAAACTACAGTAGAATCCCTGACAACCAGACTAAGAAGGCCTTCCGGATATGAGGAATTGGTTACAAAGTCTGGATATGAGTGTTTATATTTAGATTAAAATTAAAGAACTGAAATTAGGTTTAACATTTATTTTTAACGTTTTATAGTAAACAAAATAAGCTAATGGTGAGTGAAACATAACAGAATTGATTTTAAGGAAAATAAAAATAAATTATGTAATGTTAATGAAAATTCATTAAATTAAGTACGCCATGTATGCAAAACAAATAATGTAACGAGGATTGTTTAATCGCTGTTGCCTAATGATTCTTTCTCTTCTAATGCCATTCTCAACTTTTCTGCATTTTGTTTTGCTTTTTTTCTTGAAATTTTTTAAACAAAAGACACTTTTTAACTTTGCATTATTGCTGTCATCATATCTGATTGCTGGCTTTCTTTCCATAAAACTGACAACCTTTTCAATAGATTTTTCATTTTCTGTCCAGGTTTCATCACAATCATGATTTTTTCCTTGTTCATTGTGACAGTGTGAATGCTGGAAAATAGTCTCTTTGGAAGATTTTATATCATACAAGGTTGACTTTTCTATGTTGAACTCAGCCATTAGTTACAATGAACTTTCACCAGTGTCTAGTCTGTTTAAAATGTCCACTTTTTGCGATAACTCCAAAGTTGTTCTTTACCTCTTATTCCCATCATCTTTTGCCCCAATACAAGCCATTAGAGTGAAATAAGCATAAGCAATTATCCAAAATAAATTTCCTTAAAAAACAGAAATTTCAAATCACTTACATATCACCCAAATAGTTAAAATATACACATCAAAATCATATCCAGGTATATGGGATTCTGGATATGAGGGATTCTACTGTATTAGATCATATAGTTACATCTCACTATTTAAGCAGTAAAATGATGAAGCCTAGTAGCCAATCAAGTAGGACAATTAAATTCAAGTGGTCGAGGACATACCAAGGAAGAGAGCTCATTAGAACAACTACCATGAAAAAATATTTATAGAAAAGACAGAGGTCAGCCATTTTATGGCAATAGGATAGTAAATGAAGTCAAAAAGCCAGGTCAAGTCCAATAACATTACAGACCCTTCTTTGGATTTTGTCAAGAATCTCTAGATATATAGCAGAAGCACCTAACCAGATATGCCTGGATGAACGGTAGATGTGTATAAATATGCAAAATGAATTCTGGTCCCAATTTTAGGTTGTTGAATCTGTCACTAGTTACCAACCACAGGAAATCAGAGATAGCCAGCTTTTTTAAAGTAATCAGGGGTGAACTGGAGGAACATCACGTGTCCCTGTTACTCTTTCTGCGAGGATTACAGCCAGACACCAGGTGTAAATATATATATCATAACAATAACCATTTTGCTAATGTCGGGAATTTGATCCTCTTTGGGGAATTCTTACTCAATAACCTTTAGCTTCCTTTGTGGCAAAAATAATTTTTATCAATAGTAAGGTCAAAATGAGAATATTTAATGTTGAATTTTTTTGCCGAAGCAGGTACTTCTCATTTGAAAAGCCGATTTCTGTAGTTGATCTCTGTTCAACTTTTTCACAATTCTCAAGGTTGTGTTCGTATTGCTCAATAACTTTACAATATCTTTTTTTCTCTCTTTTGAGATTATACAGGGTGAGATGGATAAATTTTCATCTAAATTACGCAAAAATGAAAATAGCACTGACATCTCATTTTAACAGATATATTTCGCAAAATTACACAAACATATCTTGAAATGTTAAAAAATAAATTTATTCAATAAAGTTTCAACTTCGGCCTCCAGATGACTTTGGAATCTCCTACAACTAACTATTCTGGACAGTTTCCTTGTTTAATTTGGTGAATGCTGCCATAATCCTTGCCTTCAGTTCATCTTTGGTATTACAAGGAGTTCTATGGGTCTTTATCTTGCACATAATAATCAAGGAGTTTGCAGTCTGGGAAGTTAGGTATCCAGATATAAGGGGTGATGTGGTGGCAGAAATTGTCTGACAGTCATGACTGGGTTCGTTTGCTTGTGTGACATGGTGCAGAGTCCTGTTGCCAAACATAGGGTCTTCCAGCAGCCATTGTGTCCCTGTGTGAAGATGAATGGATGCATAACATTGCCATCACTAGTGATCACTCCAAACACTAGGATGTTACTGGATATATCATCCAACTCTTTCCAAATCCTCTGCACTGTCCTCAGATTGACACCCAAACTCTCTGAAATGTTCATGTCAGAACTTTTGGTGTGAATGCCAAGCAGTACAGCATGCCGTTTTCAAATTTCTGTTAGAGTGAATTGTGTCATGGTGCTCTTTTTCTCACAGACTGTACCCAAATGACCTTACTATACTGTGCAGTCGACAAAATCAAAAACAAACAATGTGCATGTGGGAAATTAAAAATATAAATGGCGACAATTTATCCATCGCACTCTGTATCTTTTTTATGTCCATCTGTTTAATCCCCACTATGGATTAAAGAAGGGATTATTTTTACAAGCTAAATTCCAGCTTTAAATAACCCCACAAAGGGTTGATAAGCCATAAAAAGCAAATAAATCAATCAACAATCTTTCTTAGGATTCATGACACTCTTTATATATCTGAAATTAAAAAAAATCATTTATTTATAATATGAAATCCAACCCTTGAGTTGCATAATGAGATTTCATTATACAATTACCAAATAAGTTATTGCAAACATTTCTAATATTGTTGCAGACTCTACAATATTTTCTTTATTATTACACTTGAATGCCTCACAAGCCAGTAGACATGTACTTACCCTATTTTAAATAAATCAGTGATGTCTACTCAAAGACACTATCTACTAAATATAACATTAAAGTTATGTATATATATATATATATATATATATATATATATATATACATGTAAAATGAGAATGAATAGAATCCAATTCTGATATTTGTAACATTAAAATTAAAAGAGGACTCAATATAAAAGTCGAGCAACATGACATTTAGATGTCATCTATGATTCTAAATCTGTGGGTCATGACCTCTTATGTATGATTGTTTCTTTCATTTTCTTATTACTTTGAACATTCTGATTGGTTGATCTGAATATAAACAAAACAAACTCTGCTACTGTCCCCCCTCTTCCCTTTCTTACTCTTTTTCTTATTCTTCCTTTTCTCGAGAAAAGAGGGTGTATCTTGTATCTTTCTTTCTTACTCTTTTTCTTTTCCTTTTCTCATGTAAAGAGGGGTATGTTGTTTTTAAATCTCAATAAATTGTCTACTTACCAGTCATTTACTAATGCCTAATCAGATGTGTTAATACACACCAAAACATGATTGCATTTGTGTCAAAAAAACAAAAAGTATATATATATATATATATATATATATATATATATATATATATATATATATTAAAAAGGATATATATAAAAGGATATATATATATATATATATATATACATATATATATATATATATATATATATATATATATATATATATATATATATATATATACATATATATATATATATATATATATATATATATATATATATACATATATACATATATATATATATATATATATATATATATATATATATATATATATATATATATATATATATATATATATATATATATATATATATATATATATATATATATATATATATATATATATATATATATATATATATATATATATATATATATATATATATATATATATATATATATTTTGGGACATAACCATTCTTTCAAACATCTTTCATTAAAAATGACTGAGAAGGGAAGATTTAATTAATTTATTATTTATTTTTTTTCAGTGTCCTTACATTTTTCATTTTTGTAAGAATAAGGGGACACAAAAA